GCCTCTTCCTCCACCACCTATAACCAGACGCAAAAGTATAACGATCCAAAGTCGAGTCAACTGGGAAGGGACTTGAAGACATACTGAGACCTCAGGCTACCTTGTGAAGCAGCAGCTCCAGTGCATGCGGGAAATAAGGAAGACTGGAGCAAGTACGAGCAATCTCCCAAGCAGGAAGGCCAAGGTTTCTCCTCAACAGCTGTCTGAGAACATGCTGCAGGTAAACCTCGCTCTGAAAAACGAATATAAAAAATCACTGAAAAATGTGCTTTTTAGAAATGCAGTTGACTCTTGGTATAACGAACACTGATATGATGAAATTTTATTATACATCTTAGATGTTGCCCAATCTAATGTCCATACACATCCGTGCTAAGAATTTGGTAATGATGAAATCAGATACAAAGAAATTCCCAATATAATGAAAGAATTCTGTCATCAGACACTTAATATAATGTATTTTCCCCTGTCCAATAGGAAATTTTTTTTTTCCTCCCTCTTGACAGAATTGCAGAAGTGTCAATCCCCTCACCCTATTCAGCCCTTCACCTCAGTCTTCAGGTGCATGGCCTACGAGAACCAAGGATTTGGCACTTGCAGAATGTGCATGATAGGGGAATGTGGGAGAGGATGTGAATATGGGCAATGCATGTGAATAGCACTTCAATTCTCACACTCAGCAACTTTTTATCCAGCTCCTATGCTCTGTTCATCCTGTGCTAGTTTAATTTTACAAGGCTTAGGGGAGGTCCATGCCCTTTACTTGGCAGAGGCTTTTACACATTTAACCCTTATGCTGCAATATTGATTTTGGCACACAGCCAATGGCAATGTTACAGGAAACAAGTGAAGTTGCTTTTGGCAGTGAAAGGGTCAGCTGTTAGCTGCCAACACATTTTCCTAAGCTTTAACTGTGATGCCACGTGACCCACCAGTGGATAGGTGGCAGTGAAGGTGTTTAAGTACTTTTTTCATGAAACCCTCAAAAGTTGTCAGGCCCACATAGGATAATATGGGATAATAATGATGCATACACAGGCAAAACAGGATTCAGTTCTCTAATTGGAAATATATGCTCCCTCCTGATATAACAAAATAATTCTGGTGGCTTCTTCAACTTTGTTATAATGAGTCAACTGTACAAAGACAACTGAAGTTCCATACTGGGTTATTGACAACATGCAAGTTATGCACATGCAAAAGAAGTTGGTAATTGAGTCTCACATGATGAAAATTTTCTTAGCAAACAAAATAATAAAGCTCAGAAAAAAAAGAAATGGGTGATGATGGACTGGTTCATGAACACTTAAAAATTGGCCACATATTTAATTGTATGCTGCTGATATTGGAACATTCCAAGCCATCCTCCTTTTTACAACAGAGTTTAAAAGTTTTCCTCAAATATAAAAAAAAGTCAATCAAAAGACAGACTGTCAAGACACTGATAGATGTCTGAAGGAGTCTCCCTCTTGTCTGCCCTGGTCTACAGCTGCTTTAACAATTACACAACATATTCTTGTGATGCACATAACCACAACCTTAAATACAACTGAGAAAACTTTGCAAACATACTGGGATGAATGTAGTAAGTGATTAAGAAGTCAATACTATAATGGACCTACTACAAGAAAACTCAAGTACCTCGAGTAACTCAAGTACAAGCTGTATGAACAAGTAAATATTTACCGTTCTCTCCAGAACACAGAACGGAAGCTTGGGAGCATGGGATGTGGTTTGCTGAGGGAAAAGGATGGTATCCGTCTCCACGCCGAGGACCACTGCTGCCTCATACAGCACAGCTAGAAGACCAAATGATTCATTTACATGGATGATACATATTTAAATTTTTTTATTTCTTCGGAAAAACAAAACAAACCAAGGGGATAAATGGAGACAGGTGCTTGGATCATGATGCGCTTGGCCATGAAAGCCTTGTCCCCCTGATGTGGGAGAAGAGGAAGCCACACACGCATCCCCATGGCCCCACAATGAAGCCAGAGGGATTCAGTTAGATGAGGCTTGACCCCACTCTTCCAGCCAGGGAGCCACACGTTCTCCACACAAGATGCCAACACTGTTGGCAGACCTGCAGTGACCTGAAAGCAGACAAACTTGAATAAAAAGGAGTGTATTGGAGAACAATAGAAAAAAAGCAACATAAAAGCTCTAATGAATGATAATTAAATTATGACTTCATAACTAGCACATTCCATGTTATACAAGGTTGGCAAAGTGAAGTACATGCATCACTTCAAATTCCATATAAATTCCTTCACATTCCATGCTGGATGATCTAGAGATGGGACTTGTTCTTCTACCTCTATTTGCAAATGTATAAAAGAAAACATATTACAAAATGACATTACATCTGGAATCATTGAAATGATGCGTGTGAAGTCCAACTTTCTCCCCTCAACCATGGATATCTCTTATGTAACTGCCTCATTCTGACACACCTTAAAAGGATTTATCAGACACATCAGGCAATCATGAAATAATGCATGAAATTTGGCCAGTTTCACCAATATCTACAAGCACTTTTTCTTGGTATGAAGGCTCTTGAATGGATTCCTGATGATGATTGACTCTGTATGAGACTATAGTGGGACTATGAGACATATGCAAGAACTTGGGGAGTTAGGAGCAGACCAGTCCATACACAGTCAATTTTGTGTCAACTCTTTCCATTTCACTACATCCATTAATCTAATGGTAATGTGTCATCATATTGTGATCACCTTTTCTTTTAGCTTCTTCTTACTGGCTCTTCCTCCAGTAAACATACATGTCCAAAGAAGAAAAAGTTAGGCATAGAAGCAACCATCACCTTATGACTGTCTCCCAACTTACTAGGCCAATACAGGTGAGAGCTGATGAGGGAAAGCTAAGCAGGGAGGTTTCTTTCCAGTGTGGTCCCAGTGTAACACCCAAAGCCATTAAGCCTATGAAGCATAGGAAGGAGATGATAAGCATCACCCTGTGGCACTTTCCCCAGTTGCTAAGAGTGAGGCATGTATACTAGGGGGGGGGGGAAGATATGGCAGGTATTGCCACATCTCAAAAGGAATTTCTAACAGATCTGGTTGTTCTCAGACCTTTGAAAACTGTCTGAAGATCATGACCAAGTAATAAGCAAAAAAGCACCACTTCCTTAACTGCATATGGGCTCTGTAACAATGTGTGATTCCTATCTGTACCCTGAGGTTTTCACCATGACTTAAGAAATTGGAGACATTTCAATATTGACTGTTACACAGTCCGTGACATCGATGTCTTTAAAAATTATATTGTACAACCCTATTCATACTGGATGATCCAAGAAAAGGGACTCATGTGATTGACAAGTGAGTTTTCTATTTATATTTTTATGGATCATCCAGTACTTGGGTCCAGATGCTACTAGCCCATACCCGGCCAAAGTCATCATAGTCGTCAGGATCAGGAGACCCCAGTTCGACGGGGAGGAGCATGAGACGACCCGAAATGTTGAGGATGATCCCCTCGACCCTGGACGAACCGGGCCCACTGTTTGAACTGCCGCTGCTGTGGTGTCGACTCATGTCGGTCCGGATGGAAGTGAGAGCCATCGACACCACACAGGCCGGGTGGAACACCAATGGTGCCAGGTTCAGGCTCTGGTATTGCTCCAGGTGTACCCCTAATCAAACATTCAACAACTGTCAGCAGCAGGCAATAGTACTCTAACATAATGCTACATGCAGCTTCCAAGTCATCTAACCTTAAAATACATTGCAGATACATGTAAAGGATCCACTTAACCTAAACTGAATTAATTTCATGTCAAGCCCCTAAAGAAATCAAAGAGTTTTATCTCATTCCAATAGGTGCAATTATGAGATCAGATCAGTTGAAGTTCAAATCCCATACATATTCCCCAATATATACAAGTGGTCATTGATCCACTTTTTCATTTCTTAAATTTGAGAACAAAGGGAGTTAACTAAAAGAGCACAACTGGCACAATGCATTTCAAGAAAACCAAGGTAAAGAGAAATTATAAGCATGTATTTACTAATCAACAGCAATGTTAGTGGATGTCATTGATGTTAAAATAAAGTAATATTGCGCCTGGATTTTTATCATCTGAGCAGTCACTGCATCAAGATGGCATCAAAAATTTTTTCATATTTGCTGAATCCATCAGCTAAATTATTTTTATTCATGCTTGAATAAAGAAACAAGTTTTCATGTAAAGTTTACAAGATGTACATATCTATATTTATAGTAACACTGCACATAAGAGTTCCTCATGATAAATTATTCAAATAATAAATTTGACAGTAGCTTATCTGGCATTAAACAGTCATTCATGCTTAACCCTGTTACTACCTGAACTTTAATGGTCATATGTTTAACTCTTTGTTTCATGTCTTCATGAAAATACAGTATCTGACTTAACAAGTTTATGGGGTAGCCTGCACAACTTGCTAAGAGGCTATAGGCTGAAAGGCTAGAGTCCATAGGACCCAGAATGGTAGCTACAGGGTTATATGTTTTCAACAAGAGTTTAATAAATCTCTCTGACCTGAATCAGATGATGAAATTCCAAAGATCCTCATCAGATTATCAGCTCCATAGACAGCAAGTGTGTCTTGGTGCAAGCTGAGGACAATGACTTGGCTCTCCAGCTTGACGATCCGGGCATTCCCATTGGACAGTTTCAGGTCCCGTGGATAAAAACGCAGTTCGTCCTGCTTGTGAGGGATGTTGTAGCAACCAAGGACGATATGCTCTCGGTACCATAGAAGGCCTCCTGTGACAAGGAAGTCTCGCTCTTGGTTTTCACTACCAAAGAGTTTCCACTTCCGAGACTGGAGGGAATAATGAGCGATGCCAAGCCGTCCTGCCACAGCAAGATTGTGTCCACTTGCATCCAAGGCTGTGTACTGCACCAAAAACCACTGTTAATCTCCAAGCTGAGGGGAGGTTTGGGCTGACTTTGCCCCATGACAATATGAAAGTTTCCTCTCAGAGATGACAGAAAATTCATTTTATCCAGTGGAGTTCCTTCCATCTTTCAAAAAAATACAAATGACATATCTGATTTTGTCTATGTTTACAATGAACCTCTAGTGGTATAGAAATGTATCCCTCACAGGTTTTTAACATCAAATAAACAAGAGAACTCTCCGAGGTCTCTAGCTTTTTTTTAATAGTAAATGTCCAGTGCCACCTTTGAGTCAGAAGGTGCACAATGAACAGAAAATGTTTGTAATAAAGTAGAAGATAAGGTTCAGACTGACTCGAATGGGCCAGTTGGTGCTGGTGTAGGTGTACGGGATGGAGACAACGATCCACTGCTTGTTGCCGACCTGACTGGGTGGAAGCTGTGTCTTCGGGGTGAAGACTTCATCACGGGATTCCACATATACAGGAAGATGTTGAATCACCTTCTCTGAGCCAGATTTAGTGAGACTCTCGTTGGCGTTGATGTAGATTCGATCCTCGCCTTGAAGCAGAAGCCTCTCTTGATAACACTGTGGAGAATGTGACAACATTCACATCAAATGAGACAAAGGGTGGAGGTACTTCATGGTGCTGCCTCTTACCATAGCAGGATTAACAGTGAGGGCACTTTTGACCATTTGGAACTGGTAGACCTCATAGAGGTATTGGTAATGCTGGTTAATTTGATGGTTATGAAACTGATGTGATGGAGGGATCATCAGAAGACCTCCTCCCCCTGTGTATGGATTGGTAGTTGAAACAGAAGTTGATGTACTCTGCATGGCATTTTCACGACACGCCATCCACAGAGTGTAACCTTCTGTGCCCCATTCCTGCATGCAAAGACAATCAAGGACTACATTCAACTAAAGAAAAATCAGCTTTTCAACAGCATCTTGTTTCACTTTGATTAAAAAGAGCAAAAGAAATATGTAAGAAAAATGTACTCCAATACTGAATACTGACAACTTCAGAAAAAAACAAAACAAAACAGGAAGGAATCTCTTACTAAGTGTTTAAAAAACCTAGCTAAAATATATTTTTTATTTCCCTTGAGAATGACACACAATAGAGTTATTCCTTAGAAGTATACACATTCTCTCTACACAGTGGTTCATCCTTGTAAGTCTTAATGCAGTCACAAGAGGATTTACAGTCCTATTCAAGTTATTCACTAGCCTTTAAAAATTGTAATGCCCTGAGCATCTAGGTATCATTGTGCTACTTGGCACTCATGAACCCTGGGAATAACATGGGGTGAGATCTGATAAATTCATTAGGTCACTGTTGGATCACTGAGGGTTCTGGCACATAACACATTTGTAGGCAAAGTCAGTGAGTCTAACATCATTCACATTTTTTTATTACAAAGTATCATTAGCAAGAAAATGTAATCATATCAAAATAAGATTAATAGCTGTCCTTCTCGACCAGTCATCTCATCTTCTGGTATGATAAGTCATAAAAACAAATTTTGAATGCTTCTCATACAGGTTGAATTCATGGGACTGGAAAAAAAAAATTAAGTATAGGAGAAGTTTGAGTTTTTTTTTAAACAGCCTAGTCATGCAATTTCAAAACGAAAACTTATGCAGTTTATAAGGTACAAAATGTTTATTTCTGGGAGACAAAGGGAACAAATGGAAAAGTGAGTAGTAACACAAACCAGGGAGATGACATCGAAGGGATGTTGGGTGAAGGAGACATGAGATCCATAATCCCATGCCAGGGAGGACATGAGCAAGGAGCCAAAGACACTCCATAGAGCAAAACCCCCTCCTTTCCACGTCATAGCCAGGACACTTCCATCAGGACACCAACACAGAAGGCTTACTGGACGTGGAGGACCAGAATAGTCCTTTTCACTTAGGACCAAGGTATGGGACTCTTGAAGAGCTCCTGTCTCCTCATCAATACAGTAGATGATTCCTCGGGAACTGCAAGATGATAAAAGAACACCTTCTTTGGTTTGATTCATGAGAATAGTTTATGAAAAATGAGAAATTAACTTACTTGCGTCGACCATATGCAATGAGGCGATATTTGTGGTTCACTGCTGTGCAGATGGCATCATCCAACCGTGTTGCCCAGATTCCTTGCATTTGCTGCAAACAAAGGAAAATGTAGCTAAAGATTTCATGTGATAATATTGTGATAATAATAACTATTTATCTGCATACATTGGGATCAAAATGGAGGGTAGAAGCAGTAAGGAATGCAGCTCGCCCATCACTCAGGACCACAGCAAAGCCCCCCAGTAAGGGAGAATAGTCAATGGCACATACGTGAATGCCCGGCTCTGTCAGAGGTATTGCTGCAAGGACATACACACATAAACTTCATTCATTGATAAGAAACATTCTTTGCCTTACTAAGAACTCTATAAGCTTACATCTGCTTTCATGCCAGGCATGACTTTCATCCCCATTCCTTATCTTTTTTATATTTATTTTGATTCAATTTAAGCTTCCAATACTTCCCTCCATCCCTTCTTCTCTAACTTACTTACCATAGATTCACTTCAATTTACTTTAATTAATTTCATTGCATTTTTCCCCACTCCAGCTTGCAGGCACTTATCTTCTCCTTTCATTTTTCTTTGAACAGCTCCTCTTTGTTTTTCACTAGGTCCTGTTCCCTAAAAGAAAGAAGCCTTTGTTCTCCCAAAACATAATAAACTGCCTGGCTTGGAGTGAACCCAGCATTCTGACACTCTTCCTCTTATCATTCCTGCCACTCATGAGGATCCTGGTTTTTAGTAAGACAGCATTTATGTGGGCCATTCTTGCTAGCATAACCGAAAATAAAATTTTCAAGACAAAAAATTTTTTAAAATGAGATTCTATGGGAATATAATGGAACCAGTCTTGAAATTAATATCCCTGGGAAACTCTCCTCAAGTAATATATAGAAAGAGTGCGGCCAAGATGTGCCCCATTTTTTAGGCCGTTGAATTTATAGTCAAACTTGGTATCAAATTAAAGATCTCGTCGAGCTGATTACGAATATATGTGTCAAGATATAGACTTTTACCGTTGCAGAGAAAACGGGCTCTAAAGGTATCAACCCCGGTAGATGGCGCCACCAACTCGTCATTATAAAATATGACTCAAATGAAGCATATTTATCCAATTAATTAGCAATTTTTAAAGTCATATTACATAAGTTCTCGTTTGGAATAACGTAGGGATGATTGTGTCCGTACGACAGGTACCAAATGATGCACATCAAATGGCTGCAGCATCCGACAGTGCGCGCTCCTGCCTCGCATGTGCAAAAGTAGGCCACAATCGCTTCGCAACCGGTCTTCTCCCTGTCAACCAGAATGAACTGATAATGACTGGTGCCACTCCTGTAACGAGACTGCATCTTGCCCTTTATGAGTACCGGGTTGTCCACTTCTATCCCGTATCTGGCGTAGTCTATCGTCGGTGCTCGTCTTCGCTCGGGCGGATCGTACATGGTCACGAAGAAGGTGCCGCCGTGAGAAGCCTGGTGCTCAGCCACGTAGCTCACGGCATTCTTCTGCTGGTACTTGCCCAAGGAGATGTCAAAGAGCTGCTCGCTGGTGAGTGCGGGAAACAGTGTCTCGATGGCGTGTGACCGATCCTCGAGCGGCTGGAAGGCGACTTGCTTCTGCGTGAGGTTGAGCGCTTCGACAAGGGGCTTCAAGACGTTGGGCATGTGCAAACGTTGGCGCATCACATTGGCCACATCGTGGTGCACCAGGTCGCCGTACACTGGCTCGAAGAACATGTTCATAAGGGCGAAGCCCACTTGAACACATTCGAAGTCGTGCTGCAGTGTGCCGTTGTGTGCGGGAATGGCAAAGAACTTGAATCGCTTTTTGAACTTGCCAAAGGTGTGCTCCACTATCCAACGGACCTTGGTCACCGTTCGCGTGAGGTTGGCTTCGAGTGTTTCCAGCTGCTTGCCCGTGCAAAATGCAGGCATTTTGACGCTGAATCCAAGCTCTTCTAGCTTCACCTTCACGTCTCTGAACCCCCTGTCGACGACCATGGTGTCTCCAGGACGAAGCGTGCGTAGTTGGTCCGGAAAGCGGCTAAAGCAGTCATCCAGGATGGTGGCATCGTTGTGCGTCGCATTATAAGGCCCAAAGACAAAAGCGATGAAGCCATCAGGACAAACGCCAACCATGACTTTATCCAGTGGCATCTTCTTCTGCACACTCCAGAGCTTCTTCTGGGCGCCGAAGTTTGCACTTTTCTGGATGAAGCGGTAGGTCGCATCCCAGATGATGCAGACACCAGTGTCGGGAATGTTAAAGAGAGTCCTGGCAATGGGCGTGACGTGACGCTGAAGATCTTTCCGAATGTGGCTATTGAGGAATGCTGGGACTGCATGTTGGAACAGAGTGTCCCTGGCCTTTTCAATGTAGTTGCCGATAGTCGACTTGCAGACACCAAAAAGTGGGGCGATTTGGCAATTCGACAGGGAGGTGCGCAGCTTGACGAGGAACACTGCGACATGGACAGGATCGCAAGTGTGCGTAAACGTACAGATGTGGCGAAGCTGATCCTTGGTGAAGCCAACCCACCTTTTGAATGTAGTGTCGTCGATCCAGTCGAAATCTGGCGCATCGAAGTCGAAGAGTGTCTTGGGCTTGCCTTCTTGATCGAACTTGCGGTTGAAGTCGAACATCAGGTTGGTCACCTTTTCGAAATCGTCCTGGGCAACCGGCGTCTGGATCTGCTTGACTAGCGGCCACCAATTGTCCACTTCGAGGTGAGACTTGCACATTCTGGCACCATACTCGGTGTAAAACTTGTAGTCCATAAGCAGCCGGTAGCGAAGAGAAGGAGATATCTGCACAAACTCGGGCGATGGACGCATGCATTTAAAGGAACACTGGTGATGCGAGTAAGGAGCTTGGCGGAAGATTGACAGATCAGGTGTGTCATCATACACCGGAGGAGTGACAGGTTGATACTTGATCTTGCTGTAACAGGACTTGCACAGTTTGTCAGCAGGATCAAGCGATTCGATTTCAGGCAGAAGCTTTTGTCGCTTGTTTGTCCCGTCTTAGTTTGTTCACCTTTTGTAGAGCGTTTTCAGTCAACATCAGACGATAAAAGGGATGATCTTCCGGTTTCTTTACATATTCACAACCCAGACACTTATTTGATGAAGTCATTATGAAAGTTACTTAGATTATAATAATTAAGGAGAGAGAGATGCCGAGTGAATGATGGTCTGACAGAGTGAGCCCCAACTGAGCCGCAGTGCTCTTTTATACAATTAACCGACATTGGTACATTAATCGATGTGACATTCGAAATGTCACTATTGACTATTTATATTGGAATGTAATTGAATACCAATCTGTTATCAAAGCAAATAATGAATCAATGGAAAGGCATCCAACCTTTCCAAATAGCATGGATTATGAATGAAAACAAGGCGAGTGATGGACGAAAAAAGGTGACCAGAGAATAGACCAGATGCAATGAGAGATTCCCAGAGACAGTTAAAACGGTAATGGGATGCATAATAATAATCGAGTGGAAAGAAGTCGAAATCACGAGCACAAACCAAAACGAAAATAGCTGGCAACGAAAAGGAACCATGCTTTGGTGTGAAGACCAGTTCTACGTGTGATAATGATCACTTATCATCAACAGAGATCCTATTGATAACTGCGATCAAGATCTAGCCAACACAACTACTCATAACTAGAACCTGTGGCGCCATCTATTGGGGTTGGTACCTTTAGAGCCCGCTTTCTCTGCAACGGTAAAAGACTAGATCTTGAAACCTATATATTCGTAATCAGCTCGAAGAGATCTTTAATTTGATACCAAGTTTGACTATAAATTCAACTGCCTAAAAAATGGGGCACATCGCCTATGGGCGGTTGGCCGCACTCTTTGATTTGATGAGAAATCATTCATGTATTACTCCCTGGAAATTTCAGTTTTCACAAGCAAGCCAGCATACTATTAAAAAAAATGCAAACAAATAGACCCTAACACCACATCCACAGCTGGCAGAAAAAACATGGAGACCACTAGGATCTTGTCATTTACATCTACTTAGAAAAACAAATAATTCTCAGGGACCCATCCTAAATGAGTTAAATTTTCATCGAATATCAAATTGAAAGAAGAACCTCACACTCTGAATACATAGAATAACAAGAATGGATCAAAGTGGTATATGACACAATACTCTAGCTCATAACAAGGCTCCACAAAAAGTTACTCTCATGGCATAGATAGAAGAAAACAAGCCTCACCAAGTG